GTACGAAATACATCACTACTACTCACAAGTATCAGCTTATGTGCATAATATCTCCTGTCCCCTACACATAGAACAATGTCACTAAGCTCAGGATTATTCCAATACTTTCCAATCTGACATAAGAACTCATCTGCATTGGCCACTTGGTTGGCACCATACGCACTACTATCTTGGGCAATGGCTGCTAAGTCAGAAGACAATGAAGGTTCCATTCTACCATCTCCAATATGACTTGATGATCTTGCCATACTAGAAAAAAATAAACATAGTGAAACTAAACACTGTCTTAAACCTGACTGCTGTCTGAGAGTGTGTTTGTGTTGACTGCTATGTTATGTCACAACCGGGCCAACTCGGGAAGTTTGGGGAAAAGACAATGACAAAATCAATATGTAAAAAAAGTGTTTTGGTTATTTTCTCAAACATGCAACTTGAAGCGTTTTCAAAATAAATTTTATACATTTTACATTTCACATAGCAATGAATCAATACAATCATGTGACACTACTTCCCCAGATAGATGCCCATTGGCCACTGCAACCATGTTACTTTGGGCACCCTGCGGTGGCGACATGAACGCACGTGTATAATCTGATTGCCTGTCTGAGCAATGTAAAACCTGATTGCCTGTCTTGTGTTTTGTTTCAAAGATCATGCCCGGTATTTTTGACAAAATGCTGACCTGTATTACTATACTTTGGTAAAAATAAATTTTGGTTTGGGTTCTGACCACAAGTCAGCTATTTTGAATCTGATCAGAGAAACAAAATGTGTACATCAAGGTCCCATTATGTTAAATATATAAGTTTGAGTGCATCCATAAAGATCTGTTTCCTTAATAGCAGAAATGCTTGATTTTGATAAATTTAGTCGTCATTCAGCCATCTGGAATTGCATCAAATGAATGCATGTGTATATATGCAACATTACATGTACATTATGTGTGTATAAAGTTTGAACATGATTGGTGAAAGCATATTCGAGATATGACTCTGGAACAGCATACATTATAAAAAATGGTTACCAGTTAGCCATTTGAATCTGATCTGGAAATCAAAATGTTGTGCATCAAGATTCCATCATGTTTAATGTGTGTACAAAGTTTGAACAAAATCCATCCATACATGCCCATGATGCAGTTTAAGAATTGGTGGAAGTGTTATATTTTGATTAATGTTTAGCACAAAAAATGGCCATAATTTTTAACTTCATACAAACAGGGACTAATTAACCTTGATTTGTTAAAAATAGGCTTGAAATTTTAAATGCTATAAAAGATCTATAGTATTATAAACAAATATAACTGATCATAAAAGATGTCCATTACATTAAGTGTCAGGTTATATACCATATATATAAAATATGTTTTTGAAATGCATCTTTTACATCCAAAATTTTGGTTCCTCAGATGTCTTAAATGAATTTAACCTGTCTAATCACTGGACTGAATCAATGGTATTTACTATCAGCCACTTGTGAACTTTAAATCATATTTTTTAGGAATCTCACATGAAGTTACAAGGATAGAAGAAATGCACAATTACATTGCTTCCATATTGTTTTGAAGACATACATTACAACAAAATCAGCAAACTCAATAACCATTCAGCTGAATGTACTATATGTCAGATTTCAATAAAAACAAGACATGAAATGTCACAGTCCCCGTTATTTGATTATAAAGTTGTACAAGGAACATCTGCAAACAGGTGAATAAATATGTACTCTTTGTGGTTACAACTCATCATAAAGTGATTTCCGATGATCTAGTTTTGTATTGACAACTAAAAACTTCCACTGACCCATGTTCAGAATCTCAGAGTACACAAGTGCAACAAAACTATTTGTCATACATGTATACTTGCTCAAGAAACTGCATTCACAAATCCGAGTGAACCTTGATGTACCGGTACATGACTTCTTTGTTAATCAGGTCTTAGTATATTACCAGGACCTGGGTTTGTTTCAACATCACCACTGGGCATCAGAATCATTCTCATGTTGTCAAATACAATTTGTTATTAACACAGTAAGGTTTATTATTTAAAATGTATTCATTGTACATAGAACAACATCTGTTAATTTAAACAATTGTAAAAGCTATGTTTTCAAGAGCAAGTACATGTAATAATTAAAAAAGCCAGTTGCAATAAAAGGTTGGTCTGCTCATTCCCTT